GGGTGGGTTCTTTGCTGGATTCTGTTTTCAGGGCTGGAGAAATGAGGACAAATCTTAATTCTATGTTACTGAGACCAGTGGATAGAGTAGGGGAAAAGAAACCCTGGTAAATATTTTGTATATTATATCTTCTTCATAGGTGATAAGACACTTGGAAAATTGTATAAATTTTAGTGATTGAAAATACTAAAATACTAAATTATTATCTTGCCCATGTAATTGTAACCCCTCTGTACAGTATTTTCACAATAAAAAAGAAAATAAATAAAATACTAAATTAAGATGGTTTAAAAAAAAGAAACCATGATAAGACTGATACAAGAGGAATTGAAAAGTAAGTCAGTTACAGCAAAATGACTAAAAGTAAGTTCAAATAGATGCAATTCAATGAATATTTCCAAGAAGGAATGGCACTTGCTAATGAAGATCCCCCAGGACCAAGCAGGATGGTAGAAATACTGTAGCTCTTTTATTCTTGTCTTTTATAGTTTAAAAATTGGCATTGCTTTGTCTTGCATTTCCCTATTTTTTTCTCATTTTTACTGTCAAGACACTCCAAACAAAGTCCCCTGGATCAAGTCACCCTCTCTTACTGCTTTCCCTCACCAGAATTCACCTGTCCTCATAACAATTGCAACAGGTTCCATTTGTTCTATTTTCATATGTGATTTTTTTTAATGTTTTAATTAAGGTACTTCTTTCAGGCAATCTTTCTGGAAATCCCTCTTTTTTTTTTAACTACATCAATATTTTTATTTGTGTAAGGTTATATGCTGCCTTCCTTCAGATTTTCGAACAATGTTTCACTATATGCTATAATACATTCTGAAAGATAGTAGCCATCTTCACTCTGGTAAAAAGAAAAGTTAATGTGTGAAAGGGAGGTAAAGCAATTAAAATAGTTTTCTAATTTTGATTTGAAATTATGTAATCAAAGGCTGCATGTCAGCAAGTTTATCTCTAAAAGCTCTAGTCCTTCAGACCTTGGCAGGCCTTCTATGGGTTCCTTCCACTTCAAAATAGTTGAAGTTGTGTCCATTTTTAGAAAAAGAGAGAGAGAGAGAGAGAGAGAGAGAGAGAGAACACGATGGTAAATATCTTAGCAATTGTCAAGAGAAGTTTTGTGCTAAATCAACAGATGGAACCTAGGGAAAGAAATGGGTAATCACATTCTCTGCCCCAAAAGTATTTGAAATATTTATAAAGTATTTTTAGTTAAAGTTCTTGTATCTTTTTTCAAAAACCAGGACTTGACCAAGCAAAAATACATTCTAAGACTAACCATTCTCTTTGTAGAATTAGCTATTAATAATCTGATTATATATGAAACTTACACATCTTATAATAGAAATTAAATAGTAGATGGGAAATGAGAAGTTATTGATAAAGTCTTGAATTTTTCTAATCAAACTTCTCAGACAAAAAAATGATCAACTCTAAAAAAAATAGCTACAATCATTTCATTAGATACTTTTTAAAGATATCCATACCCTATCTCCTATCTTCTTGTTCTTGGCATCGATCTTTTGAAGTTCAACTCCTTGCATAAGCTTTTCATACAGGCACTCCCTCTACTTAACCACTCTAATAATAGAGTAACTGTCTTTTTATCAAGTCTTACTCTGTGCTGCATTCTTCCAACTGCTTTATGTAAATTGTGATCATATGACCTTTATCTCAGTCTTTTTCAATAGCACTGTGTATTGTTTTGCAGTTAAGATGCAGGAAGTAATAGATTTTTCAAGGCCTCAAAGTTAGTGAGATAGTAGGTTGGGAATTCAACAGGAGAACTAAAATAACGTTGGCCTCAAAAGCTAAATCCTGGTCCTATCCTTCATGATTTGAGGTCTTCTTTGACAATTTGAAGTCACAACTATGGAACTGAATTTTCTTTTTTACTTAACACACCTCTTGTGGATTAAAATTTGTTTCCCTGTTGCTGAGTACTGTGGCTCATGTTAGAAAAATGGAGGAGAAAGGAAAGAAACAAGCCAGACCCAATCTTCTACAGGCCAGGACAGTGAGGGGCAGTAACCTTCCCATGGGATGGGAGGTTGTGTGAGGAGGTAGATTTGGGGTCAGGCTTATATGGGTCTTAACAAGGAAACAAAGGAATAAGAATCAGGCTTTAGTTACCCAGGGCCTATGGGTGGGGGTACGTTCTGTTAGGTCCAGAATAGAATGTCCAGCCTGGGGTGACATGGAATTTCAGCCAGGCCTAGGTTGGAATGGCCTGCTTGCGGCCAGGCATATGGTCAAGCGTGTTCATGGGTATCTGGTTTTGCCTGATCTGGGGAAATAAGGTAAGGTTCGGTCTTTCATTTTCATCTTTAGATACATAAAAAGATTGGGCCAAAAGGGGAGATGCAAGTCCTCCAAGTTTAAAACCAGACCAGACAGAAAAGTCCACAAGACCCCATCTCAATTATCCAGCAAAAACCTATACTAGGGATGTAGTTCAAGTAGTAGAGCACAAATCATGAACGACTAAGCCATGCAAGTACAGGGCCCCTAGGTTCAAGCCTTTTCACTTTTTGAAAAAGTAATACCTTTGTAACTAGGTATTTCAGAAATGTATTTTCTTCCTTTCCCTTAAGTTTTCAACATTTTTTCAATTATATCTTAGCATCTAAGTAGCTTAGAGTAAGGATTATGAGCCTAGGCTTGGGATTCAGTTCTTTCACTGTGAGGTGAGAATTTTAATATCTAATGTATGGGGTTTATAAACAGTGACAGAGAAAAATATATGTGTATCACATTATAATAGAGTTAACCCATGCAGTTTCAACAAACACCATTCTAAGAATCTCATTTAGAATAGCATCTTGATACTCAAAGTAGCCCTATAAGGAAGGTATTTTTATTTTAAGTCCCATTTTACAGGTTAAGAAAAAGGCAAAGAAAGGTTAACACACTGGCTAGAATCACACAGCTGGTATCAGGTGCAAGATTTTAACCCCAGGTTGATGCACTTAGCTAAACATAATATTATACATCACCTAGGTTTCATGTAGTGGGTATTTAAAATTGTTAGCTCTCTGAACAGCTCTTTTGAGGCTTCCTGAAGAGGGGTCTTGCTGACCTAAGTGCTGAATCATTAAGAGGTCTGCCTGGGTTTTACGCCCTGTCTGTGGTATCAGAAGACAGCAGGAGTGTGTTAGTGACTGTTTGTAGGAGGAGAGCCAATCCCATCAGGAAGGCAGGACTGGAAGACAAGTTCTGTAAGGGACTAACCAGAATGAAGCTACAGGGTTTGAGTAGGGGACCCTGAGACAATAGTCAAGAAAGCTATCCCAGTTTCTATGTGACTCTGATCATATCGTTTGACCTGCTTCTCCAGTCATCTTCTCTGTAAACCAAGGGAAATGAGATGGGATGTCTGGAAACACTCTCTCCTATCCTAAAATGTCAGGATTCAATGCATCCAAGGTCTGAATAAATGTCTCAATTACATGGAATTGGAATCTCAAGAGCAGTTTTCTTAAAAGAATCGCCAGTCACCAGGCACTCATTCATATACTCCCAGCCATTCAGGAGGCTGAGATCTAAAGCCAGCTAGGGAAGAAAAATCTGAGAGACTTCATCTCTTAAATTACCAGGAAAAATCAAAGCTGGAACCATGGCTCAAGTGCTAAAGCTCTGGTCAAGCAAACATGCTGAGCAAGCATGAGGACATGCATTCAAGAACTGCTATCACCAAAAAAAAAAAAAAAAAAAAATGGAGAGAAAGGAAGAAGAAAGGAAAAGGAAGAAAAAAGGAAGGGAGGGAAGGAGGGAGAGAGGGAGAGGAAGGAAGGAGAATCAACATTTATGCCCATATGTAAATTATCTACTTTTCCAGATGCTGACCAAGTCTTTTCATCTTAGACTAACTTCCTTGTTACCCAGCTGTATTACTGGCCCTTATGAAATTTTCTATTTGTTGTTCTAATAAATGAATACAAACTTACTCTCTTAGAAGAACATACCTTTTTTATTTGCTAGTTCTATAGGTCACAGGTCTAAGGTTGGAGTCATATAGGAGCAGTCCTTTCTGGAGGCTTTAAAGAATGATCTGTTTCCTTGTTTAGCCAGCTTTTGGAGATTACCCACACTCCTTGGCTCATGGCCTCTTTCTCCATTTTTAAACTTAGCCACATGGCAATATTCTAACTCTGCTTACATCACTGCTTTTCTTCCTCTGATTCTCTTCTTCTTCCACTTCTAAGGTCCTGATGATTACCTTGAGCCTACTCAACAATTCAAGACAATCTCCCAATTCCAAGGTTAATTCCATTGGTAACTTTAGTTCTGCTTTGCCAAATAGCTTAACACAGTCAAAAGTCCTTAAGGGAGTGCATTATTCTGCCCATCATAATCCCTTCTTGCTATCTGCTATACTTTAAAAGTAATGACTACAGGGGAGACACACATACCCTTCACAAAACTAAACAGGAGCTGGAATGGTGAAGCATGCCTGTAGTCCCAGCAATTCAGAAGGCAGAGACAGAAGAATCATGGTTTGAGGCCATTCTGGGCTAAAGTTAGAAAGAGACTATCTCAATAAATAAACTGAGTGGGATAGTACTTAGCTGTGGTCCCCTCTGCTTAGAAGGCAGAGATAAGATAATTATAACTCAAGGTCAGATGAAATGAAAGTACAACACTCTGAGAAATAAACTGAAGCAAAAGGAGTTGGGGTATACCTCAAGTGGCAGAGCATCTGCCTAGCAATTATAACCACCTGTGTTCAAACATGAGTATTTCCCCAACAATAATAATAGCAATAATATCAAGTAGGAAGAGCTAAAATATAAATATATTCCCATTTTCCTCCTTCAGTTCCTTTAAACCACAGGTTAAATGGGATTCCAAGGCCAATGAGAAGCACATTTGTATTAGTCACCATGATTATTTGCTCACTTGTGCCCTTTACAAGGAAAAATGATGCTTGATAAGATGCTCTTTGATTTCCATTGTCAGCAGTTGCTTTTGTATATTTTGCTCACACTTAGGACAGAATGAAGCCATCCAAGCCAACACCCTACCCTGGAATGCAAGAGACCATGCCCAATCCTTACCCACCAGGCAACCCAACCATGGCTCCTGCGTCTCAACCAGCTCAATATCAACAATCTCTGAGTTTTATGAATGTAGGAAACCAAGCCCAAGCTGGGCAATTTCCCTTCATGACATCTCCAGGACTCTTTCATGGCAGTCAGCTTGCTCAAGGAAATGTTCAAATAGTAAATCTAACGACAGAACCAGCAGCAGTAAACTTGAGAGAAGAAGGAAAGATACTAGGGGTGAGTCTGTTTCCTGCTGGAATTTTAAGTTTGCATTTGCAAGTGTTTTCTTGTGCCTATCAATTATAGGTGGGGAAAATATTCATTATTTAAAAGTTTAATGCTTGTCTAGAAGCTGTATGCCCCTTTTAGGTAGAAATAATAAGTCTGCCCTGAGTTCATTTCATTTAGATTCAAGCAAGAATCGAATTGGTGACAGAAGCAAATTTGATGAGAAAAGCAACAGTACCTGATTGATCTCACTTCTGAAAAGAGCATTGTAGACAAGCTTGATTTTGTCTCTGAACTGGTTAAAAACCCAGAATCTGCCCACTGATGATCCACATTAAAATGTATACTGCTGCCCACCTTTAAAGGGATTTAGCTACGAATGAGCAGGCTGGGACAGGCTGAGTGTAAAAGAAGGTAGAACATTGCCATCTACTGTGGCCCCCTCAGCTTGGACCCTTAGAAATGCTGCGACTTATCTACCATTACAGTCTTACAAAGAGTATTTTGGACTAGCACCCTCAATCTTGTATCTGTAGGCATTGTGAAACACATCCCACCTGTTGGTGAGGATTCCACCCACTTAAGCAGAATTGTTAGTGGATTTGCTAAGCTTTCCAGGCACCCCTTTTCACAAAATAATTAAGTCTTTTCCTGTGTATAGCTCCAAATTACACTGGGTATCCATTAGGTGCAAGAACTCTTCTAGCCATATTACTAGCCATCTGTTTCCATTCCTCTCCAGCAGCCAAACACAACCAGCAAAGTGACTTCAAGATCCTCTCATGCTGAAGGGAGGAAATTTGAACAGATAGGACAAAGACAAGATCTCACACACACCCTATCCCCATACAAATATTGGTAATATGACATTATCTCTGTCCTGGGGAATTTACAACCCAGTGTGTGAAATCATGCCTATAATAAGGAAGTAAAATACAAATTATAACAGAAATGGATAAGTGATATAGAGAAGAAAGTGTAAGCATAATTTTTTTAAGTAGCAGGAAGTGAAAGGGTAGCAATTTCAAGTTTGTCTGAGGGGACACGCCTTAGAACATGACATTTGAGCAAAAACATGAGCTTAAGAGTGAGCCAAGCAGATTCCAGGACAAGAAGAATTCATCAGAGTAAAGGCCTTTAGATACAAGTGCCTATAATGCATTTGACAAACAGAGAAGAAGCCAGAATGAACAAGAGCAGGAAGAAAGCAGAGAGGCAACAGGGGCCAGTCCTTGTGAGACACGAAGAACAGAAAGTTTGGGCTTTCACTGATGGGGAATAAAGAATATGAAAATGTAACTAGAAAAACTGAGGGTAAGCTGGGCGCTGGTGGCTCATGCCTGTAATCCTAGGTACTCGGTTCAAAGCCAGCCCAGGCAGGAAAGTCTATGAGACTCTTATCTCCAAGAAACAGCCAGAAAACCAGGCCTCACGATTGACGAAAGAAAGAAAGAGAGAGAGAAAGAGAAAGAGAGAAAGAAAGAAAGAGAGAGAGAGGGAGGGAAAGGAAGAGGGAAAGGAAAGAAAAAGGAGAAGAAGAAGGAGAAGGAAGAAGGAAGGGAAAGAAGGAGGGAGGGAAGGAAGGAAGAAGAAAGATGGATCAAGGGTATGAGTGGGGTTGGGAGGATGGGAAAGAGTAATGGAAGGGGTGACACTGAGCAAGATCTATCGTGCTCATGACCAGACATGTTAAAATGAAACCCCTTTGGTACAACAACTACTTAAAACGAATTTGAAAAGTTAAAAAAAAATTTTAAACCTAAAAAATTAAAAAGAACATTCTGCCTGGTTCTAGAAGCATGCACTGAAAGTACTTTAAAAGAAAAAAATGACATTTGCTTTTTGTTCTGGTTTATCTTTAAGTAATTGTATGGAGACTTGTGGGGGATTTTTTAAAGCTGCAGTTGGCAGAAACTATTTCTCTCCATGAAGATTGTATACCTGCGCCATTACCAACCCCCAGCCACCACAAAAGTGCAGGGGCCACAGGTGATGGGAGTAAAGCACCTATATCAACCTATTCCAAAGTTCAGGAACTGGGATCAAAGGTGCAGAACAAACTGAATGTCCAAATGATTAAGACTGTAGGCAGTTTTGACTGGTAAAAGGTAGTTAGGGCTATATGAGGAGAAAAGAAGGCCATTAAGAATAAAAGATCTACTGTTCCTCATCAAAATGACAGCAATGATGAGGATGAAAAGTTTATAATTGAACTGATGCTCCTGGAGAGGAGCTTGTGAAACTAAATATAAAATCAACTGCAGGAGTTCTTTGACTGAGATGTCTCATGGCTAAGGAAAGGTCTGTCATCTTTCCAGCCTCCATGCAAACATGAGATGGATATAGGTGAATGTGAAAGCATTTTTCAGAGAAAAGAAAAGGTTTATGAGTCTCAACTTACTCAAAATTACAGTAATTTCTTAGCATATTTCATTCAGTAGTTATTAGTTGAAAAAATTAAAAAGCATATAGTCCTTCCTGGATAAAGACGATACAAATACAAACTTGGTGAGACATGAATGCTCAGTCTGCAGTAATCTTTCTGAACCAATCTAGCAAATTTGTTTCCTTGGAAATATGTGTTTACTCAGGACAAAGTAAAGTGCAATACATAATAAGAATTTTAAAGAAGTACAAGATTTATCCTTTATCTTGGGAATTATATCTCATATCTAGTAGAAAAATGATTGCATACCAGCAATGTTTTTTCAGTGAACACTATGAGTACCAAACCAAGTAGTAGTAAGGTGTGTTTTATGTCACAAGCTACAACAGAAATTGAGAGAGATGGAGCCAAGCCAAGCTTGGGCATATGCTCCCCAGAGTTCAACGTGGGCTCTGGAATCAATCTGTTGCAGTAAATTCCCACATCCACCCCTTAGGAACTTTTAATAACTGATTTCTTTATGTCTCTGTGTCTCCATCCAGTCATTAAAAGGACTGTATGCACAATAAATGTAAAATGTTTAGATCATCGCAGAACATGTAACTACTGCCCAATAAATGATTTTGCCCTAATTCCTTTAGTTATAACATATATTACTCCAGGAGTCTTTTAGATGCTCTTGAAAGATAGCAGTGAGAGCTTAGGCACATTCTAGACAATTCTCCTTGGGCCACCCAGAAAGCTGCCCCAATACCTTCAAGAAAAGGCTTTGACAGAGGCCTTTGCTCCCCACTTATTCTAGTATACATCAAAATATTCACAGCCTATCTTTTTCTCAAGTGATTGCTTAAATGAGGCCTGTGGATCCTTGCCAAAAGGAAAAGAAATACAGAAGACAGCATTGAGTGTAATGTGTCCCAGGGCTGAAAACAAAGACAAAGTGTTAAGTGTTTGTTTTCTTTGTTTCAGGCAATCCAGATCATAATTGGAGTGATGCAGATTGGTTTTGGGACTATTCTAGGTTTGCTGGCCATCACCTATAGTAACAATCTACTGGGCTTTGTTTCTCTTACTTTTCTCATTGGATACCCATTCTGGGGTGGACTGTGTGTGAGTAGATTGCTGAGACAACTCTCCCTATAAAGTACCACTATTTCCTTGCAGGATGTACCCTGGTGGCTCATGCCTGTAATTCTACACACTCAGGAGGCTGAGATCTAAGGATCATAGTTCAAAGCTAGTCTGGGCAGGAAAGCCCATAAGAATCTAATCTCCAAAACCCAGCACCCAGGACCCAAGTATAAGCCCCATGACCAGCCCTCTCCACCCCTCAAAAGTGCAGGCAATTACAGGAAGAGATGACCAAGCATAAATCACAGAACAGAGATCTTGACAGGAGAAAAGAGTTCCTAAAGTGCACAAAACTAAGAAGAAAACAGGAAATCAAAGACATATCCCTGAGTTCCTCTAGAAAATGGAGATAGATGAGGCAATTTAAACAACAGACAAACTGAAGTTCTACTTAAAGATAAATTTAGACCAACTCTTGTTCCATATAAAGTTAAATTTCCAAGCCCATTCTGTGAACACACCATTTCACCAAGAAATCTGTCTATTTCTACAGTTCATTATTTCTGGCTCTCTCTCTGTATCAGCATCCAAGGAATTTTCCCCTTGTCTGGTAAGTAAGAATGTTTCTACTTTTTAAACTCCTTTAAAGATTAATTTGATTTCTGGGGAGAGAAATTGAGAAGGTAGACTCAGAAAGTGTGGCTGAGAGTACTTTGCTCAAAGTTATTGTCAGTTGACACTACGGTGCTGGGGCTAGAGTGGGGAGTTGTCCATAAATTCACCACACAGAAATGGCAGAGTCCACGTCCTTACTGGAACTCCCAAAGGTAGGGAGCTGTAAAGATAAGGATTGTTAGGGCTGGGAAGGTGGCTCAGTGGTAGAGTGCTTGCCTTGCATGCTTGAGGCCCTGGGTTCGATTCCTCAGCACCACATAGGCAAAAAGAAAAAAAAAGCTGGAAGTGGTGCTGTGGCTCAAGTGGTAGAGCTCTAGCCTTGAGCTGAAGAGCTGAGGGACAGTGCCCAGGCCCAGAGTTCAGGCCTCACGACCGGATCCAAAAAAAAGATAAGGATTGTTAAAGCTTCAAGGCAAAAGCTTCCTGGTTCAATGGGGTCACATTACATTCAGGAAAGTCCAAAGAAGAATCTAGGAATCACCTACTCTCCTCTTTAGTGACCATGGCTCTGGTATTCATTTGCTATTTCTTAGCTATGTCTTGCATGTCTAATGTTTATTTGTAAATAGCTACTATTCTTCATCAGGTTGGGTTTTGATGGGCAATTTTTTAAGCATCTAGCTAGAACATGAGAAGAGCTTATAAAATCAGAGTGGAGATAGCACTCCATGTGTTGCAATTTCCTGGTTTAAATGACACCAAAAGAAGTAACATGATTTGCCATAGCAGAAATGGTTTAAAGAGTACAAAAATTTCAATAAATGTCATTTTATATGATCATATGCACATAGCTATTGAGCTTTTGTGATCCTCTCCTAAGAATATCCTCCTTTGGTCTCAACATATGAATATCTAACGTATGAATATCTAGGTAACTCCAAGAAATGGGAACAAAGGGGTTTTTTTCCTTGGTTGCTATTTTTGTTTTCTGTGCCTTTTGTCTTGTTTTAGAGAGAGGAAGGGAGAAGAGGAGTACAGAAATGGTGGGACAAAGGGTAAACAACTGCAGCAGTGCTACACACGAAACACTGCATTGAAAATGAACTATACAACTTGTGGAGGGAAGACAGGAGGGAAAACTTGGGAGAGAGCAAGGGAAGAAGTGATACTGTTCTAAAAGAAATGTACTCATTACCTGACTTATATAATCATAACCCTTCTGTATATCACCATTACAATAACAATTTTTTTCATTTAAAAAAAGAATATAAAAGTTGAAGCACAAGAGGAAAGAATAGAGAAATGGAAACACAGAACCATACTTCTCTGGCTCTTCCCAACAAAATTAAAGTTACATTTTAAAAGCCTAATTCAAAAAATAAAAAGCTTCATTCCAATTAGCCACCCATACTATCATCCAAAAACAAACTGAAGCATCCTTTTCTTAACCTTTAATAGTTTTCTTTTTTCCCCTGTAACTGAGATTGTCCAATAGTAGACTCACTCCTCTGGCAAAAGTTGAGCACTGAGGGGTTCTAAAAGCAATTTTTCTATGAGCCTTTTAAAGGTCTTCAGGAACTACCATGGCACTCCAAAGCAGAGGCACATTCTAAGGATTCTAACAGTGCTATCCCTAAGCAAATCAGCTGAGGACTTAGTTTCACAATTCTTCAGCCATATCTCCTAATCTAACTGTAAAAGCTGGAGAAAGTTTTGTACTCTGCCCATATATCTCTCTACCCATGAAAGCCTAAAAATATTCTTTTATATTTGGAGATCCTCACCTAGTCCCTAGAGAAACTTCAGGGTTTCCGGTACTCTTTAACTCTACCTGCAAAAATTGTGTATGTGTGAAATTCTTTCCCATCTGTAAAATTAGATGCTAAAATTCATACAATGGCCATAAGAATTTAAATGTGACAGTGTACTCTTAAAAAAAAATCTAACAGACTTGTTGAAGAATAACACCCACCAAAAGCTTATTTACTCTTGTTCTTATCTTGAAAAAGGAAGTAGAACTGTTATTGTACAAAAGGCTTTTTAATATATTAGCTGTTTTGTATTAGTTACATTTTCTATGGATTGTTTAGAAAGACCCAGCATCTAGGCTAAAAACTTTAATTTTTGTGATAACTACACAGAAAGAAAAAAACATTTCAGCTTCAAAAACTTATTTTGAAATGTGAAAGATTAAAAACCATTAACTATGGTTGCTTTTTATTCCACTTAATTTCATTTATCGTCCATATAACTTACTGTCTCTTGTCTCCAATAGATAAAGGGCAGTCTAGGAATGAACATTGTCAGTTCTATCTTTGCCATCGTTGGCATAATTCTTTTTTTGGTGGATCTGATCATCAATGGAGTAGATAACCAAGCCTTCTCGGCCGTGGTAAGTATTATATAATCCACCATGAGAAGTAGTCTGTTCTTTATTTCCTAATACTCTACAAGCAACTCCGGTGGGAAATACTCTATTTCTATTCCAGTCCTGCCACTAGAAATGTGATTGCTAGGCTCTAAAGTGAGAGAATGCCTTTCACATATGGACAAGGACAGATAGAGCATCCTACAATCCTTCTCACTGTTACTACATATACAATGGGGAGGGGGGCTTGGATCCACCTCTGGAGACTCCTAAGACTATCCAGCTATTATTCTCCAACAATTAGGAATCCATATGCATACATCTGTCAAGTTCCTGAGTAAGAATAGAGTGATTTTTAGAATAAGAATAGTGAGGGGAAAATGGAAGTAAAGAAGGCATCCAGGTTTCACTAGAGAAGCTGAGCATATGATGCAATTGTAAAATGTGTCTCTGATAGTGCTCAGAATAGAATCATACATCCATTAATATCAAATAGGCCAAGCAAGGATTCTGACCCCAGGAAGAAATGGATACTTAGAGGGCTGAGATGCTTGCTATCTGTAAATACAGAAGGTGGTCTCTAAGACATCAACTTCCGTCTTTAGTCTGAGAACAAAGGGAAGCTGCAGAGGAAGTTTGTTTAATGTTGTTTTGTTTCTATTACTTTACAAAAGGCAAACTGGCATTCAATTTTTCAACTAACCATAAAGGCATATAAAAAAAGAAATGTTCAGTTAGCAGGCTATGGTATGACCTACAATAGCATCCAATAGTACAGACTTTTTCTTAAAATGAAAAACAGTAGAGAACATTTCTCACCTATTGAAGGAAAGTTCTTCCTGAACATATTGTGCTATTGACAGACTTAATAAAGAAATTAAATCAGAGTGATTAATATTGAAATACATGGAAGCTGTGTATGAAAATGGCATAAAGAAACTCAGTGAAGCCTGTTGATTAAAGAAAATAAAAATGTGTAATATAAGACAGATGTAGAGTCCCTTAGACAAATAGCCCTTTGTTAAAATATAATATATAAACAAATAATTATTTAAACTTTAAACAGAAAAACATAGGAGGAGGTAACAATGCTCAATAAGAAATGTACTCATTACCCTACTCATATAACTGTAACTCCTCTGAACAGCATCTTTACGATAAAATAAAAATTTTTGAAAAATAGATAATTACCTATAAACTAAGAAAAAATTATCTTGATTCATTCTCTATCACAACATTCAGTGAGGAGACAATAGAAAAATGTTTATAAAGTTTTGATAAAGGGGCTGGGAAGGTGGCTCAGTGGTAGAGTGCTTGCCTTGTATGCATGAGGCCCTCAGCACCACATAAGCAGAAAAAGCTGGAAGTGGCACTGTGGCTCAAGTAGAGTGCTCACCTTGAGTTGAAGAGCTGAGGGACAGCGCCCAGGTCCAGAGTTCAGGCCCCATGACCAGCCAAAAAAAAAAAAAGTTTTGATAAAAAGGAAATTGTGACTCGAGATTATCACATGTGACTCAAGATTATCAGAGAGGAGACAACAGAACAATGTTTATAACGTTTTGATGAAAAGAAAATTGTGACTCTAGATTATCTCCAATTAATACCAGAAAATCGGAAGTGGCACGGGGGCTCAAGTGGTAGACCACTTGCCTTGAGCTGAAGAGTACAGGGACAGCACCCATGACCAACAGAGAGAGAGAGAGAGAGAGAGAGAGAGAGAATATCCAGGACATTAAAAAAAAATTCAGCCAGGTGCTAGTGGCTCACACCTATAATCCTAGCTACTCAGGAGGCTGAGATTTGAGGATCATGGTTTTAAACCAAGTTGAGCACAAAAGTTCATGAGACTCTTATCTCCAATTAACCACCAAAAAGCCAGAAGTAAAGCTGTGGCTTGAGTGGTAGAGGGGTAGCTCTGAGCACAAAAGCTCAAGGACAGCACCTTGTCTCTGCGTTCAAGCCCCAGGACTCGCACAGAAAAAAAAAAAAAAAACTGAAGATAGAACTACTTTGTAATCTTGCTATTTATGACTCCTGGGAATACACCCAAGAAACATGCAGTCAAGATACTGATATACCTGTGTTATTTATAGCAGCACTATTCACAATGGCCAAAGTATGGAATCAGCCTAGGTACACTCAAACTGATGAATAAAGAAAATCTGGGGGAAAAGAGAGTGTGTGTATAAAGGAGTAAAGTATTGTTCAGCCATAAAGAAGTACTCAGCCATCAAGAAAATTATGTTATATGCAAGAAAATAGATGGAATTAAAATTATGATGCTGATGTGATTTTTTTTTATTGCTCTATATGGTCCTCCCCCACTGTATAACCCCTGTTTTCACCGTATTTGATGTCAGTATAATTTGGGGAGAAGAAGGGGAAAAACAAAATGTTTAAATAGGGATACAGATTGACCCAGGACACTATGCTGGAAAAATGAACTTTACAATTTAGGTGGGGGGGGAGTGTAGTTGTGGAGGAAAGAGGGAAGGATGGTAGGGGAAAAATAAAGGAGGATGTAACAATGCTTGATAGGAAATGTACTCATTACCTTGCTCATGTAACTATAACCCCTCTGTACAGTATTTTTACAATAACATAAAAAATTTAAAAATTATGATGCTGAGTAAAATAAGCCAGACTGAGAAAGGCAAATATGTACTATTCTCTCTCATATATGGAATCTAATTCTTCAAAATGAATGTAAAACAGATTCTTTTCATGGGGTGGGGACTACCAGAAGGACAGAGGATGAAGAAAGGAATGGGTATTTTCAAAGCACTTTATACACATATATGAAAACAGTAGAAGAAACCTGTTGAATTTGTTACAAGAAGGGTAGGAGGGATTAGGAAGGGAATTTGACAGAGGGAATAGGTGTGATTGGAGCACATTGTGTGGCATATATGGAAATACATTGGTAGAACTAATATATACTAATAAAAATAGAGAGGACCAGAAAAGCATGGAGAAACTGTATAAATTGTTAGTAGGAAGCAGTAAATCACTGAAGTAGTCAACTAAGACTTAGCAGCTAAAACAATGACAGTTACAGAATTGAATGTAAGTATTTTAATGTTTCTTTTTCTTTTTTCTTTTTTTGGTTGGTTGTGGGGCCTGAACTCTGGGCCTGGGCGCTGTCCCTCAGCTCTTCAGCTCAAGGCTAGTGCTCTACCACTTGAGCCACAGGTCCACTTTTGGCTTTTTCTGTTTATGTGGTGGTGAGGAATTGAACCCAGGGTCTCATGCATGCAAAGCAAGCACTCTATCACTGGGCCAACTTCCCAAGCCCTAATGTCTCATTTCTTAAATGTACAAAAATTTTACAATCATCAAAAACTCAGCCGAAAAGAGAGAAAAAAAAGTTGATATAAAACTGTAAATCCCTTCACCCTTTTTCATAGAAAACCATCAATTTTGACTTCTTCATGGATTTCACAATCATGTTTTTTTAGTTGACCAAACATAACCATTTTCTTCTTTGAAAATAATTATATACTTTCAAAATACAAAGTGCGATTCCATTCTTTTTCTTTTTTCTTTTTTATTTATTTATTTATTTTTGTCGGTCGTGGGGCCTGAACTCTGGGCCTGGGCACTCACTGTACCTCGGCTCTTCAGCTCAAAGGTAGCACTTTACCACTTTAGCCACAGCGCCACTTTCTGCTTATGTGGTGCTGAGGAATCAAACCCAGGGCCTCATGCATGCAAGGCAAGTACTCTACCACTGAGCCATATTCCCAGACCCATGATTCTTTTTTTTTTTTTTTTTGTCGGTTGTGGGGCTTGAACTCTGGGCCTGGCTCTGTCCCTGAGCTCTTCAGCTCAAGGTGAGGCTCTAGCACTTGAGCCACAGCACTACTTCTGGTTTTCTCATAGTTAATTGGAGATAAGAGTCTCACAGACTTTCCTGCCCAGGCTGGCTTTGAACTGTGCTCCTCATATCTCAGCCTCTTGATTACAGGCATGAGCCACCAGCGCCCGGCTGCCAAGATTCCATTCTTAAGAAAACGTTTCTTTCTTTCTTTCTCCATTGCTTGCTCTCTCCTTCCTTGTTTCTCTATTCAGTCATGTTGCCTTTTCCTATGTCTATACAAAGGGAGATCCACAATAGTATGTCAATGTTAATTTTGGTCATTTCTAGGCAGTGATGCTTACAATGATTGCCTTCCATATTGGTGCTTTTTTTAATAGGCAAGTGTCATCTTATAAAAACAAGACACCATTGAAAAAATCTGTTCTTACGTTTCTAAATAAAATGATCTGTTTCCCAAAAGGAAAGCTTTCTGATGTTTTAAAGGAACCTCAAAATAAATTTGTATCCCCTGTGATAAGCATGGAGTGAGCCAAATATGAGCAGCAGCACAATTTGATAGTATTTTTCAAGATAAATTTCTGATTTCAGCTTTCTGGAAAAGGAATATCTTCTATGCTGCTGATTTTCTCCATCTTAGAGGTCTGCATAGCATGTACCACAGCTCACTTTGCCAAGCAAGCAATCACGAATACCAACAGGGTGAGTTGGGCCTTTTTTCTGTAAAATAATCTGAATATGTGCTAAAGAAATGAATACTTGCATTTCTGCTAAATCCTGCTGTGGGCTTATGAGATCATTATTTGTCCTTGACTTTGCTGGGGCAGAAGACACTCAATGCATTGTAGTAAAGATGTTGCTTATTTTTGTTCCTTCCTTCTAGTCTGCCCTGGCTATTCCAAATATGTATGCAAGCAACCCCGTGACCCAGTCCACACCAGCTCCTCCTCCCAGATTTGAAGACCACCCAGCTTATGCTCCTAGATAAAAAAGAAAGAAGAGAGCATGGGTCCATAACTTCTCTACTTAAAACTACTTAACTGACGCTAGTAGCAGCAGTTAGTGATATTACCCTAGCACCCTTCTCATCATTAAAAGACTAAAAACTGTGACTCTCTTAAAGTTAGAAACTTTTCTGTGCATACTACCTTTTCCTCAATAAAATAGTCATTGGGAATATAAGACTCTTTTGTATTTTTATTGGTATATATTAACTGAGATTAATAGTAAGGGACGTCATTACGACCTTTCTATACATACATATAATGTGCTTTGGTCATATTCATGCTTCCATTGTTCTTGCTAATTCCTCTGCTCCCTTCCCTCCTTCTTTACCCTTTCCTTCTCCCTTTCTAATAGAATGCCCTCTATTTTTATAACCTTAGTTTTCCTTCTAACTTCTACTCATTGTTTATTCCACTCATCAAAAATCCACTTTGGTGGACTGGGAAAGTGGCTCAGTGGTAGAGTGCTTGCCTCCCATACATGAGGCCCTGGGTTCAATTCCTCAGCACCACATAAGCAGAAAAAGCCACTGTGGCTCAAGGGGTAGAGTGCTAGCCTTGAGCTGAAGAGCTGAGGGACAGTGCCCAGGCCCAGAGTTCAGGCCCCACAACCAACAAAAATAAATCCATTTTGGCTTGATACTTGTTGAACAAAAATAGATCTGCTAACACTACAGAACAAACTCATGAAGCCAGCCAGCCTGCCTGCCTGCCTGCCTGCCTGCCTGCCTCCCTCCCTCTCTCCCTCCCTTCCTTCCTTCCTTTCTTCCTTCCTTTGGCAAGCTGGGTTTAGAACTAAGGGCCTTGTGCTTGCTAAACAGTTGCTTTTACTGCTGAACCATACTCTTACCTCAATTTTTGCTCATTTTTGAGACAGGGATTCATTTCCTGTATGGAATAATCCAATTTTGTTAGGCTTCTCAGTAGCTAGGATAAGGCACATGCCACTGTGTCTAGCCCAACACTGGAGTTCCTTTACATACCCATCCTCTACTTTCTGCTCAGAAATCAAATGTTTATGGTTCTTTTGGGGAGCCATATTATTCTGGACATTGACTCTGCTACCAACCAGCTAGCTATTTGTATTACAGCTCTTAACAGCCTCACAGCCTCTGTCTTCCATAGTCTACCTCCCCTTGTCTTCTTCTACCACTCTTAATTGTCTCAGTTGTCTCTGCTTTCTGAAGTTTTTGCTCCTGGTCACTTACTGACATTCTTTACCCTGCTTTCTCACTGATACTGTTGCTGCCACTTTCTCTTCTTGCTGCCAGTACAGCCTGCTCTACATATGAAATTCACAAGTAGATGAGAAAAGACCATTCAGAAGGAGCATTTTCTTGAGCCTACTTTTGCAATACACATGGGGGGGGGGGCAGCAAAAAAGTGAGCCAAACAGCATGACATGCTGTTTGTTTGTATGCCATGCATACAAACATTGTAATTTGCACCAATCATAGTGCAGTTTCCAGTTCCACCAATTACAGGCTTAAGAACCAATCAACAGGCTTCCTACTGGATGACCAGAAAAAGTGCTTTATCCTTGGCCTGAGTAGAATAGTTTCAGGGTAAGCAAGGTCACGTAGAGTTCATGAACTCTTATCTTGGAGCTATGTCTTCCAAACCCATGCAGGTTATTTAGAGTAGACATGACTACAGCAAGGCCTCCCGAAGCAGAAGCTGTGCCTTCAGTAGCTGTGTTCCTTGCAGCTATAATTTCCTCAAGGCCTGTTGTGTTCAAAATTAGACTGCCATAACACAGACCACCAGTTGCCAAAACAGGGGTTGCTCAAGTTGGCAAGACATCTTAAGCATACTCAAGACGTCTTAGGCATAAGGAGGAGGTCTGATAACTGTCAATCAAACCAGCTAGCTCTCTAATGATTTAATTTAAAGGAAAAGTATAGCTTCAAAGGTGCTTTCAACAAAGACTTATTGTTAACATTAAGCGTGCTTATCTCTTAGCAAAACAGCCTTAGAGAACATTGGGTTATCCTGTTTCAGTAGTACCAAACATCCTGCCTCTTGGATAAATACACAGCTTTGCTATTTACAGAATGTAATCATACACATTAATATTATTTGTAATGGATCAATAACAGGACAAAAATGTCATTGAAGGTGTTTTATTTTCAATTTGGCTTATTTTTGACATGGGTGAATACATGGCATGTTTCAAAGCCAATAGAAACAATTCAGATAAGAATTAAGGTTTGTATAACATAAATCTCAAACAAGGATAGTTTCTCTACTTCACAGAAAGGAAGATGTAATTGTTGCAGAAATCCACAGGTTTGCAATAAGAAGGCACCAATATAAATGCTCATATCACCTTTATCAAAATCACCTTTATCATGCCAAAGGTGGAAGGCATAGACTGAATCAGCATATTAAGGAGAATGTGAAATACAAAAAAAAAAATCATGGAAGTAAAGAATAGAACAATAGAAATAGGAAGGTTGGCAGGACATCAGTGGTTCACCCCTGTAATTCTAGCTACTCAGGAGGCTAAGATCTAAGGATCACAGTTCAAAGCCAGCATGGGCAAAAAAGTCCATGAGACTCTTATCACCAATAAACCACTCAGAAAACCGAAAGTACCACTGTGGCTTAAGTGGTAGAGCACTAACCTTGAGCTGAAGAGCTGAGGGACAACGCCCAGGTTCAGAGTTCAAGCCCCACAACAGACAAAAAAGAAAAAGAAAATAGGAAGGTTGCCATGTTTCTGAGAACCTGTTCGAGGAAATGGTTATAAACTTAAAACAAACTGCTACAGACAGACACTCGTAGCTCACATTTGTGATCCTAGCTGCTTAGGAGACTGAAACATGAGGCTCACGGTTCAAAACAAGCCTAGACAAAAATGTGCACAAGACTCTTACCTCCAAGTAATCAGCAAAAAGCCCAGAAGGGGAACTGTGACTTATGTAGTAAGACATCAGCTTTGAGCAAAAAAGCTAAAATAGCTCTGAGTTCAAGCAACACTACTGGTACAAAAAAAATTGCTCCAGCAGAGGTTAGCTGCTCAGATATGGATCCAGAGATTGATTTCACCTTTAATTGGGGTTTTCTAAAAAGGATGATAACATAGCAGAAGGGCAAGAAAGCTTAGAACATTGTAAAAAATATTGTCCAAATAAATGGACTGTGAAATATAAAATAAAAAGTGAAAAAATTTTAAAGACAGTTAAATTGTCTGAAAATTGAGTAGTTGTAAGCTCAAGAGCAAATGAGATGTTAAATGAAAATGGCTTCAAAACAGACAACTTTTGCAGTTTTCAAATCTATTTTTTAATTATTTTGAGGTTTTTAATTCGATTTTTGAAGTTTTAAATCGAAAAAAATTTCGAAGTTTTAAATTTAAGTATCAGTGTTGAGTATGATGGTATATGTTTGTAATCCTCGTACTTGGAAGGCCCAGTCAGCCTGGGCTGCATGGCTACATTCTATCTCAAAAAGAAGAGAAGAGGAAGAAGAGGAGGGGGGAAGGAAAAGGAGATGGGAGTCAGATGGTTACAAAAATTTAAGACAAGAGTGGCGGCAAGATTGCAGTCACAGAAGGAAAAATATGAGAAGAGATATTTTGCATTTTGGAAAGTACATGCTTTATGTCTTTATATACATGAAATATATAGATAGAGTTAAAATAACCAGTTATAAAAGTTATGCAGATTTTAGAGAACAGAAATATGTCCAACAATTCTAAGTCGATTTGTAAAATAAATGTCTAACAAGCCTATTCTATTTTTAAATTTGCCTTTTTATATAATTTGTTACTATTCCTGTGTTGTACAGAGGGGCTGTCATTTCTAAGGTGGGAAATGAGTGCATTTCTCTTTTTTTGTACAATGTCACCCCTTCCTTTCCTTTTCCCCAGTTTCCCCCTTTCCATCCCTGACCTCAAGTTACCTCCCCACAGGAAAAAAAATAAAAGCAAAAACAAATATCAATTTGCTTTTATAATACTAATGACAGTAGCAAATATTTAGCTTGCTCAAGTTCTACATTCTAAAAACTTACCTACATTAGCATATTTAATACAATAACACACCCATAGGTACTACCAATACGAAGCCACTATTAACATTATTTTCAGATGAGAAAACTTTGACAGAGAAGGAAAAAAACGCTTTCCCTAAAACATGTAGTTAGTGAAACGTGAAGCAGGGATTTAAGCCCAGGTAGTCTGACAACTAAGTGTGGGCAGGTTTTTTAACCAGTATTCTTACTAAGATAGAATCAGAGATCTATAACTCCAAATCAACGCCCCCCCCCCCCGAAAAAAATGACCTCTATAGTAAACTTCTGCTAATATGAAAGAAATTGACTTACCTATCCCTACAGGGTGGATAATGGATTTAGTAACATGATACTCTGCAACATTTGCTTCCTAAAAGTCACATTTCTTTTGAATCATTCCTGGGACTCCCCTAACAACTAAATTCAAGAACTTCTCTTGCCACCAACATATACACATTCTGTGTGTGTGTGTGTGTGTGTGTGTGTGTGTGTCTGTCTGTCTGTCTGTGTTTGTGTCTGTGTGTTGGTGTCAGGGCTACTCACTTGGTTGGTTTTCCATGGCTCCTACTTTACTGCTTGAGCCAGGCTTTCAGCCAGCTTTCTGGCTGGTTAATTGGACCTGAAGTCTCACAGACTTTTCTGCCCTGGATGACTTTCAGTCCCAATCTTGTAGGTCTCAACGTCCTGAAGTAGCTAGGATTACAGGCATGAGCCACCAACCAGCACCCAGCTGCAAAAGGTATCATTCACTAAATAATCACATTTGCAAAAATCAGAATTTTAACTTGCTACAAACGCCAACTGAAAACTTACAGGAAAGAAATCTAAGTTTATCTGAGGGAACGTCTTCTGCCCAGGCTTTTTAACGGCTAGGTCATTGTGTTTCATAGCTGGAGCGTCTGCACTTGGAGGAGGACAGTTTGCTCCCCGCCCCCACTTTCTCCTCCAGCTTCCCCGATCGGGCTCT